CCACAACACCTGGCTATTTTTTTTTTCAGTATTGTTGTCATTGTTTAGCAGGCCTGGGCTGGGTTCAAACCCGCCAGCCCCAGTGTATGTGGCTGGCACCCTAAGCACTGAGCTATGGGCGCCAAGCCCAGGTTTTTTTAATGTATGCTATTCCTTCCATTATTTTTCTGAAACTCTTTCTTTTAGTCTTTTCCAGCTAACTCTTTCCATTTCTTTAGGAGCACATTCTCCAGTTGAGTTTGGTAGTTGTCTTTTGTGTTCTTAATTTCTCTCCTATGCTTTGGAATATTTTTGTTTTTCCCCACTGATCCTGAATGAATGGAACTAAAACCCGCTCTGGAAGCGGCTTAGCTTACGTAACCCCTTTGCAGTTTGGGGGTCACTTCAAGTACATTAGAAAGGATGACAAGAGTTGCTGTAATGAGTACACCCAAAAGTACAGTAGCTTAATGTGATAGACATGTAATAAATATATTTACTTGTCAAAGAGTGAACATATTCAAGATCAACAGTCTGATGATTTCATACAGTAGGGATTTATTTCTCATTCACCTGGAGGCAGAAGTGAGCAGTTTGTGATCTCTGCCTGGCCTGCCTCCCAGTACAGATCCAGGAAGCTCCAACTGTAATACCTCACAGGGATGGTGGAGATCCTGCCTTTTTGGCCCTGTTCTCACCTGGCCTCTTCTGTGAATCACAGCCCCAAACTCCATGGCCATGGAGAAGTTGGCAATCTCCCTGTGGAGAGGGATTCCAGGTCGCCATCACTGGCTCTGGCTTCTAGACCACTCAGTAGCTGATATCAGCTCCAGGCCCTGGGTGTGCCCATTCCATTTCGGATCCTCAGAGGTGTGCTTTTGGGCACCCCCTTGTCACTACATGGGTGGAGGGATCTGGGCAAGATGGTGCTCCCCAGTTAGGAACGAGGCTCTTCCCTTTCTCTCCAAACGGATTTGGGGATATTGCATCAGCTTTGAGGGCATGGCCCTCTCAGAACCAGGAAGCTTTAGTTCTGGGGAAGCTCTCCCTGCAGACCCTGTTGCTGTGAGTTGCCTCAGCTCTGCTCTCCTGGCTTTGGGTAAACCTTGTTTGCAGAGGCCGACCTGGACACACATTCTCCCCTTATTCCTGGTTGGTTGACATCCAAATGCCCTAGCAGCCAGCAAACCAAGTCCTGTTGCTCATTGTGCCCTGTAGGAGAGTTTTATTTGTCTACTTCCTCCCCGGCAAGCAAGTCCAACCCCAGTTTTCCCAGTGCATGTTTATTATGCCCACTGTACAAACACCACCATCCTTCCGCTCTGCCCTAGCCTCTGCCAGCTTGTTCTCAACAAGAACTCCGGGGTCGTCCCAGTGCACTTCTGGATTAAGGAGGTGGGCTCTGTACAGGGGACCCAACCAAAGGGCTGCCCCCTTACCCCTTCTCCCTCTGAGTGGACAGTGGATAAAGCCACACTTTGCCTGCCCTGTCCCCATTTTCTGTGCCAGCAGGTCCCAGACAGCTGCCCTGCATTCCTGAAGAAGGCCCTGGGTCAGAGCTTGTGTGCTCACTGGTGACTGGGTGAGGCCCAGTAGCACTCAGTCTGCCTTGTAGAAATTGCTGGCACTAGGAAGTGATTCATCTGAAGATCCTGAGGCCATAAGCGGAGGGTGTCAGGATTTCAGATTTTTCAGATATGGAATATTTTGCACATATAACATGAAATATCTGACTGCGCCTGTAGCTCAGCGGCTAGGATGCCGCCACATACACTGCAGCTAGTGGGTTCAAATCCGGCCCGGGCCTGCCAAACAACAATAACAGCTACAACCAAACAATAGCCAGGTGCTTTGGTGGGCCCCCTGTAGTCCCAGCTACTTGGGGAAGGCTGAGGCAAGATAATCACTTGAGCCCAAGAGTTTGAGGTTGCTGTGAGCTGTGATGCTATGGCACTCTAGTGAGGGTAACAAATTGAGACTGTCTCCAAAAAAAGAAATATCTTTGAGATGGGACCCAAGTCAAAATACAAAATGCATCTATGTTTTATATGACCTTATACAGATGGTCTGAAGGTAATTTTATACAATATTAAATAACCTTATGCATGAACCAAAGTTTTGACTGTGACCTGTCCCATGAGGTCAAGTGTTGAATTTTCTACTTGTGCCATGTCACTGCTCAGAAAGTTCCAGATTTTGTATCATTTGGATTAGGGAGAGGGCCAGGGCGGAGCTGCAAAGCGGCAGCTCATTCCTCAGCCAGGAGAGGGGTGTTGCTGCTCTGCTCTGTCTGCCTCGGAGGGACTGAGGAGGGGTCTCCTTTCATCTTGCATCCAGCCCATCAGAGTGGCCTTGCCTGATGCTGCCCTTCAGTAACAATGATGACGTCCCGCCAGGCCAGGGCCCAGCTCCTGGGGCTGCTCTGCTTTTTCCAACCCAGAAAAACAAATAAAAATCCCATGGCATGTCGGCCTAGATCAGCGGTTCTCAACCTGTGTGTCCCGACGCACAGGAACTGTGTTAGAGGGCCACGGCATTAGGAAGGCTGAGAACCACTGCCCTAGATCCTTCTAATCCTTACAAATACATATTTGTTTTTTTTTTTTTTTTGTAGAGACAGAGTCTCACTATCACCCTTGGTAGAGTGCCCTGGTGTCACACAGCTCACAGCAACCTCCAACTCCTGGGCTTAGGCGATTCTCCTGCCTCAGCCTCCCCAGTAGCTAGAACCACAGGCGCCCCCCACAACGCCTGGCTATTTTTTGTTGCAGTTTGGCTGGGGCTGGGTTAGAATCTTCCACCCTTGGTATATGGGGCTGGCACCCTGCCCACTGAGCCACAGGTGCTGCCCTTATATACACATTTTTTTTTAATAGCTCAGCACCAATAGCTCAGTGGTTAGGGCGCTGGCTATGTACACTGGGGCTGGCGGATTTCAACCTGGCCCAGGCCTGCTAAACAACAGTGACAACAAGAACAACAACAAAAAATACCTGGGCGTTGTGGCTGGTCCCTGTACTCCCAGCTACATGGGAGGCTGAGGCAAGAGAATCACTTAAGCCCAAGAGTTTGAGGTTGCTGTGAGCTGTGATGCCACAGTATTCTACCAAGGGCAACATAGTGAGGCTCTGTCTCAAAAAAAGAAAAAAAGATCAGGCTTCTCTCACATCCTCTGGCCATTTTTCCACATCAAAAAGTACCCATCTTTACAAATATACTGCATTTTGTTTAAGCTTCCTTGTCTGTGGCATTTAGACATCCAGATGTCTTGGGCTATCCCCTGAGGCACTGGGATGTAACTGGTGAGTGGAGCAGCCAGGCAGGGCCAGCCTTGTTCTTTCTTTCTTTTTTCTTTCTTCTTTTTTTTAATTTTGCTTTCAGTTGGCTTTCAATCTTCTTAGTTTGAAGTTTTTTTTTTTTTCTTTTGCTTTCTTTCTTTCTTCATTTATTTTTTACTGAGACAGAGTCTCACTCTGTGGCCCTCAGTAGAGTAACAGGGAATCACAGCTCACAGCAACCTCCAACTCTTGGGTTTAAGTGATTCTCAGCCTCAGCCTCCCAAGTAGCTGGGACTACAGGCACCTGTCAAAACGCCCAGCTATTTTTTGGTAGAGATGGGATCTCACTCTGGCTCATACTGGTCTTGAACCTCTGAGTTCAGGGTAATCCACCTGCCTCAGCCTCCCAGGGTGCTAGGAGTACAAGCATGAGCCACGCCTGGCCTTTTCTTTGTCTTTTTTTTGAAACAGAGTCTCACTTTGTTGCCCTGGGTAGAGTTCCCTGGCGTCACAGCTCACAGCAACCTCAAATTGCTGGGTTTAAGTCATCCTCTTGCTTCAGCCAATATAGGTCAGTCTACTACAGGTGCCTCCACCATGCCTGGCTAGTTTTTGTATTTTTAGTAGATATGGGGTCTTGCTCTTAACTGAAGTTGATCTCCAATTTCCAAGCTTGAGAGATCCTCCCACCTCAGCCTCCTAGGGTGTTAGGATTACAGGTGTGAACCACCAACCTCATTCATTTTTTTGATCAGGTTTTTAAGTTCCTGCCCTAGGGCAGCTAGCTCCAAGGTGCTGGAGATAAAAAAATGAGAGCCCAGGGGCAGTGCCTATAGCTCAGCAGCTAGGGCGCCAGCTACATATACCGGAGCTGGCAGGTTTGGATCCAGTCTGGGCTTGCCAAACAACAATGACAACTACAACCAAATATAGCCGGGGAGGGGGGGGGGCCTGTGGTTCAGTGGGTAGGGCACTGGCCCCATATACCAAGGGTGGTAGTTTCAAGCCCGGCCCAGCCAGCTAAAACAGCAATGACAACTGCAACAAAAAATAGCCAGGCATTGTGGTGGGCACCTGTAGTCCCAGCTACTTGGGAGGCTGAGGCAGGAGACTCGCTTGAGCCCAGGAGTTGGAGGTTGCTGTGAGCTGTGATGCTATGGCCCTTTACCCAGGGGGACAGCTTGAGGCTCTGTCTCAAAAAAAAAAAAGTGGTTACCAAAGCCATTTAAAAATATTGCAAACGCTCGGCGCCTGTGGCTTAAACGGCTAAGGCGCCAGACATATACACCTAAGGTGGCGGGTTCGAATCCCCAGCCTGGGCCCGCCAAACAACAATGATGGCTGCAACCAAAAAATAGCCAGGTGCTGTGGTGGGCGCCTGTAGTCCCAGCTACTTGGGAGGCAGAGGCAGGAGACTCGCTTGAGCCCAGGAGTTGGAGGTTGCTGTGAGCTGTAATGCCATGGCACTCTACCCAGGGGGACAGCTTGAGGCTCTGTCTCAAAAAAAAAAAAAAAAAATATTGCAAACATGGCTTGGCGCCTGTGGCTCAAGCAGCTAGGTGCCAGCCATGTACACCTGAACTGGAGGGTTTGAATCCAGTCTCAGCCCACCAAACAGTAATGATGGCTGCAACCAAAAAATAGCCGGGCATTGTGGCAGGCGCCTGTGGTCCCAGCTACTTGGGAGGTGGAGGCAGGAGAATCGCTTGAGTCCAGGAGTTGGAGGTTGCTGTGAGCTGTGATGCCACAGCACTCTACCCAGGGTGACAACTTGAGGCTCTGTCTCAAAATAAATAAAATAAAATATTGCAAACAACTTGGGCATCTACAGATAATTTGAGCACTTCTGTCTTCATCTGTATCCAAGGCCCCTCGGGGACCTCCATGGCAGGGACAAGAATTTACAGTTTACTTGGGAGAGTAGTGACATTTGCACTTTGAATGTGGGAGGACACGTTAGGTGGAAGCTCTTGATTGTGGGTATCAGCCCTAGGTCAGAAAAGGGGCTGGGCTGTTGTGGCCTGCATGTCCACTACAGCTGGGAGGACATCAGATGGACAGTAGTCCCCCCACTCAGGGGAGTGTAAGAGTGGCTCCAGGCTAGCCTGAGTGGCTGCAGTTGTTGGATCTGGCACCAGGTGTCTTTTCCGAGGCTCCGGGGAGGAGCTCACTCTCTTCCTCTGCGCCCCCCCACCCCCAGTTCCCCGACATTGTGGAGTTCTGTGAGACCATGGCCAACGCCGGGAAGACAGTGATCGTGGCTGCATTGGATGGGACCTTCCAAAGGAAGGTAAGGGGTCTGATCCAGGCCTTGGGGTGGGATCAGAGGGAGGAAGGTGCTTCTGGAGGGTGCAGGGCAGTCAGTGCACAGAGACTTTAGCCCAGCGTGCTCTTCCCCATCTCAACACAACACTCCCTGGATGACCTGGGCTTGGCCACCACAGGACAAGGTCAAGCTGCTCTGCCCAGAACTGAGCGTGTCCAGACTAGATGCCATCTGCTGTGGCAGGTGCTTTGGCAAAGGGATAAGTCAGGGTTTAGTGCTCTTTGGGGGACCAAAGTCAAGGCAAGCTGTGCTGGCTTTAGTGTTTATGAATCAGAGGGCTTAAAAGAGAAACCCACCCAATGAGGTGACCATATGCACCGCTGTCGTTCCCTGGGAGTGCAGGCTTTTGGGCCCATCCTGAACTTGGTGCCCGTGGCCGAGAGTGTGGTGAAGCTGACCGCAGTGTGCATGGAGTGCTTCCGGGAAGCTGCCTACACCAAGAGGCTGGGCACGGAGAAAGAGGTAGCTCCTACCACCTTCTCCCCGCAGGGCAGGCTGGGATGCAGCTCTGCCTCCTGAGTCCAGGCCTTTCACATCACCCTTTCTGTGTCCCTGTGGCCAGGTTGAGGTGATTGGTGGAGCAGACAAGTACCACTCTGTGTGTCGCCTCTGCTACTTCAAGAGGGCCTCGGGCCAGCCTGCTGGGGTGGACAACAAAGAGAACTGCCCGGTGCTGAGCAAGCCTGGGGAGGTGGCTGCAGCAGCCACCAGGAAGCTCTTTGCCCCTCAGCAGGTCCTGCAGTGCAGCCCGATCAACTGAGGAGGCCTGAGAAGGGCCATCTGCCGCCACCTAGCGGTCGCCTGCCCCCCCCCGCTGTGTGGCCAGCCAGTTGGGGAGGGTTGCTGTGCCTGGGGGACTTTCTGAGGCTGCCACACACGTCACGTGTCACATGGCTCCCTCATTGCCTGCTCACCATCCCTTTCTTGGTTCCCCTCTGGGCTGTTGGGATGAGCTGCAGACACACGCACACCCCCTTCTCTGTGGAGTGGGGCAGAGCCACATGCTGTTGTGACATCAGTGCTGCCGGCCTCTTCCCCCTTTTGTGGCTTTCACTGTCAAGTTTCTGTTCTCCCTGGGAAGTCTGGGCACTAGCACTTTGCGCCTTGGCCCACACAGCTTTGGTCCCTCTGCCAGGACAGGTCCCACCTTCTGGGGACGGCCTGGCCTCATGCCCTCTGGCTCCCTTTGGGCTCAGAGCCCTTCTATGCTCTTCCGCTGTTTTTCTCCAGAACTACAGCACTTGTCACCTTGTGACACTGACTCAGCTGGGGCTCAGACCCCAGGGAATCATCTTTAAAAGTGGGAAGCAGGGGAAGGGTCCATGCTTCAGTGTGTGAAATTAGTAACTAATATTAAAATTCAATAGTTGGTGAAAGTTCATTTCTCTTCAACTTGTTTCAGATGGCTCTGATGTGATTTGAGTGGGGGATATTTTCCAGATCTTTTTGTAGTACTAGTGCCCTCTTAATCACAACCCCTTTTAACCAAAAAATGATTCTAGAATGTATCCTAAGAGGAGTGTTCACCTGGCTCCCTGCCTGGGGCAAGGCTGGGCAGATGAGGCTGCTGTCCACTGGACCCCCCCAGGTCAGGTTTTGTTTGTGAAACGGACACTTGATAGCTGAGAAGCCAAGATAACGCAGCTCAGCTGTGCCTCAGAAAATGAGCTGTTGGCAGCTCACCCAGAGTCAGGATCCGCTTGGAGGGGGTGCTCAGACGAGGTGCTGGCCTTCTGACACTGCCTTTCCTTTGCTACACTCACTCCATTTGCTGAGGATTTGTCACAAGCCACAGGTGCAGCCTGTCCTGCAGCATTAAGGCCTAGGATACACCGACCTGGGAGTTGGGTCCTACTCCTCTGTACTCAGGATTTTGAAACTCAGGGCCCACTGTTGACAGCTGCCTCTGTCATTGCTCAAAAGGGGAAGTTGAGAGTTGCTTCATGGGCCCTGGCCTCTCCTGGCCAGCAGGGCTCAGGCTTTCAGTTGTGGGCTGGGGCAGCCAGGCCCTCTCCATGCCATGGCCCAGAAGGGGGTCCAGAGGTGCTGACCCCCCATGGGTCCTGCTATAAAAGGGGCAATCCCTAGGTGCCTACAACTCTGGGAAGGAGACAGCAGGGCTCTCGCCAGGCGGTCCAGGAAAGTCAGCTGTGCAAGCTGAGCACAGTTGCTATTTTAAGACGTTGGTGAAAGGCCCATGAAGAATGAGACCCTGGACTGGGAAGAGGCTACCACCACTTTGTTCAAAATATAAGTAGTTCCATAAGGCCAGCCCCACGGGTGTTCCCAGAACCAAATCTCTTCCGCTCACCCTAAGGCTGAGGCCAGCCAATGACAATGGAGACTGGATGAGAAAATCTTTATTCTGTCCAACTGTCTGGCAGAATCCATCCAGGGGGCCAGGGCATTTTCTCCAAGGCTCAGCCCTTGGCCCTTACCCACCTTTAACTAGCAAAGGCAGAATATTTACATAAAGCTGGGTGTTGTCAGGCAAAGCCCCTCCCCACTGCCACGGGTGGGGAGTAAGAAGGAAATGCTGCCCATCCCCCTGGGCTGGACAGCTGCCCTGCCCCCACACCCAGGGCAGCCCAAAGGCACTGGCACAGGGTGGTGACCCCAGACCATACAGCAGTGAACATGGGGCCTGGCCCCAGGCTAGGCAGGGACTGTGAGTGTGGGGACAACCTGAGTGAGGAGGAGGCAGGGGGCTGGAGCCTATCACCAGCCACAGAAGATGGGTGAGCCCCCCCCCCCATCTTTGGCAGAGAACCCCAGTAACTGGCTGCCACCACTGTGGCCTGGGCTCTGCTCCTTTGGGCTGGGGAAGAAGCGAAGGCACTTGTAGAAATGGCACAGGAGGTTCCTCCCACTACTAGCTACTCCAGGCCGGGCTGGGGCTCATTAAAAGCAATTAAAAAACCCATCTGGCAAAAACCCTCTTCTAAAAAAATGCTCTTGAGTGAGTGGGTGCCTAGGAAGGCCCCTGGGCACAGGCCTGGGTTGTGGGGGTATGGCTCTGGGGAGCAGAGGGGGCTCTAACTGCAGCAGACACCGGCAGGAGAAGCTGGCAGCCTTGGAAACAGGACATGGGGAAAGTCCAGGCCCCAGCGGCCCCGTCCCCTTCCCACCTGCCACTCTCAGTACACAGGGGGTGGCTGGTAGCCCTCAGTGGTCTCTGCGTTCTGGGTGAAGGGTGGCTGCTGATAGTTGTCCACAGGCGCTCCTGGGTAGGAGGCGTACGCTGTGCTGGGGTCCGGAGTAGGATCTACGTAGTTCTGGGTGAAGTCATCCACACCAGCTCTGTAGCGCTGGTAGGCTAGGGAGGGCAGCACACCCTGCAGGGAGTCCCAAGGTTTCCCTGGGTTAAAGAGGGAAATGGGGTGTAGGGGGAAGGGGACCTCAGGACTCCACAAAGCTGCCCACCCCAGGCCCACCTACCCAGGAGAATATAGAAAAGAAGCTGAAGGTGATGGCTGCCCGGGCAGAGTCGGCACCAATGAGCACATCATCTGGGTTAGTGGCAGTCCACTGGTGGGTGAGGAAGCAGAAACCAACAAACCACAGGAAGGTCCAGAGAGCTGGGGAGAAGACAAGGAGGGCTCAGCTCCAAGGAAGGGCAGGGGCTTTCCAGGGCCCTGGGAGGGCAGGGCAGGCCCTAAGCAGGGATCTCCCGGGAGCCCCAGGGTATGTAAGCCACAGGAGCAGGAGGGCCAGGTGGAGGCCCCAGGAAGCCTGGCTCCAAAGTCCTGAACTCAGGCTTCAATGCCAGTGGGTTTCAGCAGATGGGCAGAAATGCCTACTTCCAGCCCAGAGAATAGACAAAGGGACACAGACAAAGCCTCTGCTCAACTGGGGCTGGGGACCCTGAGCTGATTCCAGTCTCTCTTGAGGGGGCTGAGGCCCCTCCATCCCAGAATGCTAGAGCTAACCCCTCCCATGCCAGTTCACCTCCCAAACTCCAAGGGTTGTTAGTGGCAGATACCTGAGAAAAGCAGGTCACTGATGACCAGGTACTTGCGGTCAGTGACATTGCTAATCTGGGGGAAATATACGTCAATCACCAAGAAGAAGGCTGAGGCCAGGAAGGCCAGCACCCCGATGGCACTGCCGTAGCGGCAGGCATCTTCGTTGTGGTTGAACACGCAGTACATCTGACTTGATGAGTGGGTGTTGCTGTAGCCCTCCCCAAAGATGCATGAGAACACAACCAAAGCGAAGACCTGAGGGAAGAGGAGGGTCCAGTAGGGCTGGGGGGTCCCGAGAACAGCCCCCGTGGGTACACACAGCAGAGTCCCCTCTTAAGACTCGGGAGACAGGAGACACGGGGAATGATGGGACGTTGGCAGACTGCCTGTCCCTGCTGCCTGCAGGAACTACCTCATTAGGGCACGTGATGGGGATGCAGGGTAATCACCCCACCACCAGCCCACCCCCACTTTGAGCCAGTTTAGGCTCTTTTTTTTTTTAACAACTTCAATTGCCTTTATTGGCTCGGTGCCTGTGGCTCAAGCAGCTAAGGCGCCAGCCACATACACCTGAGCTGGCGGGTTCAAATCCAGCCCGGGCCCACCAAACAATGACGGCTGCAACCAAAAAATAGCCCAGCGTTGCAGCAGGTGCCTGTAGTCCCAGCTATTTAGGAGGCTGAGGCAGGAGACTCGCTTGAGCCCAGGAGTTGGAGGTTGCTGTGAGCTGTGATGCCACAGCATTCTACCCA